ATTTAAGCGTTTCTGACTATGATATAGAAATCATAACAGTTGAAATAAATAATAATAAAAAACAATACATGATCAGAAGTGAATTATTTAAATTTACGTCATAACCAAATAACTTGTGGTGATCGAATGGAAGAAGAATCGCTGATATCACGATTGTGGAGAAACAAGTTAGTGGGCGGTTGTTTACTTTACCATAAAAATGTCTTAACTTTATTTTAACGATCTTTAAAATTTGCATAAATAGAGTAGATATTTTATCATTGCTATTGAGAAATAGGTACTGTATAAATAGAACTTGTTTTTAGTTGAGTATGGAACAAAACAAATATTTGTATGAAAACTGTTGTTGCTTTTCAAAAGGAAATTGTGGATCATTCAAAAAACATAAAATTATAAACAAAATGTTCTACATTCATCAGCTGGGAGATGTTGATGTTAAGAAACACCTCATCAACTTAAAGGTAATTATGTATTTTAAATTTACGCAGACTGTAATATAATTTTTATAATTACATACTTTATAACTTCTCTGCAATAAGATTTTGAGACAAAGTTCTTTAAACAAAAAAAAAATATAGCTCTTTTAATTAATTCCTCACTCTTTTAATAAATAATCACTAAATTAATCACACTCTTGCAATATTGTATTTTAATAATAACAACAATGTATTTCAAACTTGTAAACATTTTTCGTGAAGAGTCAGATTATAAACAATGCTTTAAATGACACACTTAATAACTGTTTAAAAAATTGTTTTTAGGTCATGCGATTAAACGATAATAATATTTGGGAAGAAAATGGACTTATTGCAAATAGACTTAAAAGAAATCTTGAAAAGGATGAACAAATATGTGCTTTTCACCGGTACACGTTTGGTATTGCATGGAGTCCTCCAAAAACATGCTTTCATCCTCACCATCTAAATATAAAGGAAAAAAATCTCCCGCTTTAAGGGCGTCACCAATACATGTCGTCATATCAATGTCAAAGCGATACAATGAAGTATTTTCAGTTGGTGCAATTTTGTGTTTTACCCATTTAAAGCAAGAAACTGCTTTATCTAGAGTCAACGAAAACACCAATTTATGTACAGAAACACAAACACAACAAGAACAAACATATATGACACCTGCTACTCCAGATGAAGAATTTGATCCCGGTGAAATTAATATTTCACAGGAGATTTTGGACGAATCTCTAAGAAGCCGTGAGAGTGTAACTGAGGTTCTTAATGCAAGTCCAATAAAATTTAGATTAAAAAGGAAGTTCGAATATCTGGAAGATACTACTAAAGATAAGTTAAAACGCAAGTATGTTCGCCTAGAAAACTTATTAGAGAAAAAATTTGCGGAAGCTGTTGCTCCTGGACAAGAGGAAATACTTATAGATTTTCTTAACAGTAAAAATGTTGATGAAATAAATAGCTCTCTCCCAATTGAAATTATTCGTGCTCAGAAAGTATATAAGCAAAGTGATTCCATGGGAAAGTTAGTTATCCTCTCATTAATAGACCATACCAAGTATACCAAAAAGTTTATAATGAACACATTTGAGTGTATTAAACATCGTATAGAAACAGCAAGAAAATGGCATGCATCTCATAAAGGGTTGGCATTTCCAGAGAAGAAAGTATTCGTCCGATCTTGTCTTGATCAAACAAAGTGTGAACATTTCTTAGACTTTATATTTACAAGCGGTATTGTGCATGATGTTGCTTATGGAATAACCAAATTAAAAAACGACAGCGGTGAAGAACAAAAGATAGTGCATGCAATACTGACGACAAAATATAGCCACGCTATCATGTTCTATCGAAAAAGTTGTAGTGAAAACAATTATATACCATTATCTGATTCAAGTTTGTGGAAAGTATTGCATGCAATAAAACCTTCAAGTCGAAAAAGCTTAGCTGGATTAGATGATGTTACTGCTTCAGACATGAATGGTTTTCAAACATTACAAAAATTGGCACAAAGATTTAGTTCTAAATCTCTCAAAGCTGCCCTTGAAAAGGGAAAAAGGTATTTGAAAACAAGTTATCAAACCAATTGTAGTGTCAATGACTCAAACATTTCTTCTAATAGCTCAAAACATGCCTTATCAGATCCGTCTGAAAAAAATCTTCAATCCAACACAGAGATATCAGAAGTGGTATGTGCCGATTGCTATGATTTGTGCAAAGCTATCGAGATGATCAAAGAACTAACAATTCAAAATTCTGACGATGCTGATTCTATTTATGATTTGGAAATTGCTGTAAAGGATGTATTCAACTACATAAAACACCTGATGAGAGATTCTCAACAGAAAAAGGCAAAAATCGAAGCTTTTAAGCAATTAAACAATGAAACTGCTTTCTGGCTTAAAGATTTTTGTCAAAAAATTCTTCCGGTTCGATACAGAGAGGGCCAAAGAGAGTATTTTGGCAAGAAAGGAATGAGTTACATTCTTCATAAAAATAGCAGGAAAGTTATTCAAACGTGTTTACTTTACTTCAATGTATAGGTGTGATAGGTGATGTTGTTTCGTTAGCCACTGCAGTTTTAGACCAATTCAGAATTGATCAACCGCATATCAAGAAAATGTTTACCAAATCTGATAATGCCGGCTGCTATCAGGGAAATCTTTCAGCTGAAGCAATCTACAATGTATGCAAAGAGAGAGATATAAAGTTGCTAAGATATGATTATAATGAACCCTGTTGTGGAAAAGATCAATTTGACAGGGAGAGTGCAGTTGTAAAGACAATTTTAAGGAGTTACGTTGACTCTGGTAATAATCTTTTGACTGCTGAAGATATACACAAGGCTATGCATTATAGTTTTGGCGCTAAAGATGCAAAAGTAGCAGTTGCTCAAATTAGCAATGATAAAACTGTAGTTACTGGACCAAAGATTAAGAACATTAGCAACTATCACTCATTTGAGTTTGGTGAGAAAAGTATGAAGACGTGGCGTTATTTCAATATCGGTGAGGGAATTGAACAAGAGTATGGAAATCCTAAAATTCAACTCTCGATTAAGTTGTTGTTGCCATATAGCAAAACAGATAATTCAATTTAGCGTAACAAGTCACTTAAGGAAAAACAGAAAAGAAGTGACAGGCAATTATATTCATTAAGATTTTGCACTGAAACGAATTGTACTTTATCATTTGAAAGCGATGCTGAGTTAGAAGAACACATGCTATCCGGTCTTCATACAGTTCCGAAATCATTAACATCATTGGATAAAGTTTGCAACTCGTTTGTTCATAAGATGAAAATTACTTCACAACTAAATATGCCAATTTCTTCATCCTCTAACAGTGCTTCCGTAAAAGACAAACCACATTGCATGAACATTTTTCTTTTGCAAGGTTGGGCATTACCAGTTCGAAGTTCTTTCAGATTTTCAAATCAGCAGAAAGAACTGTTGTATAAATACTTTATTCGTGGAGAAGAATCAGGTAATAAAATGATCCCTGAGCAGGTTCACATGCAGCTGAGGTGAGAACTTCCGCCTGATCAATATGTAACTAGCCAACAGATAAGATCTTTATTTTCAAGGTAGGCATTGTTGCTATCAAAACTTTTGCAAATTAGGTTATGTTTCTTTTAAATAGTTCTTTTACAAATATGAAATTAAAATTTAGGTGAAAGTTATAATTTTGTGTGTTTGTTTACTTATGTTTAAAAATATGTACAATTGATATTGTTATAGATTTAGTAAGCTGAAAAGAAAAGGTAAGCTGGTAGAACCGACAACAGAAAATAATGAAAATAGTCAGGTTAACGATAACAAAGAAGTTTATGGCGAAAATGATGACTTTAATCTGACAGGAGACAATGAAGATGATAATAAATATGAGGAAGACATCGCCAATCTTGTAAAAGAAATTTGTCTTGTATGGAAAGTAAATGATTGGGTTGCTGTTGCATATAAAAAACAATGGAATATTGGATATATTGTGGAGGTAATATTATTCAAAGTATATACTAGTTTCAAGTTTTTATTTTGTTTTACAAAATAGTGCTCATAAATAAAAGGAATATAAATAAAATGTAAAAATAATTTCAGAATGACATTATATAAGACTTTACAAGTTTTATTGAATGTAAGCAAAATTAAACAAATCATAAACTCTTTATTATATTATTTTAAATGTTGCGCTAATACTTTTAGGTATCTATAACTGGGATCAGAGTTAATTGTATGATTAACGGGCAAGAGAAGAATACTTTTCGCTGGCCAGTTACTACCGAGGAGATAAATAACCAAACTGATAAAATTATCTGTTTAGTAAATGTTCCTTTTCTAATCAGTGGTTGTGGCGATTATTCATTATCCGAAGTAGACTATAATACAGTCATATCATTATTCTCAGAGAAACTTACTGCAGCAGAGTAGAAATTATGTGTGATGTGGTGGATAATGTGTGTAAATGACTCTATTAATAAATGAAAAACTAATTTTTAAATGGAAAAACATTTAAATGTTTGATTTATGTTTTATTTAATTAGCAATATAGTTATCTTAATGTTAGATTTTTGTTCAGTTTTTAATTCATGTTATATCATGCGTGTGACAAAATCACACGAATTTTTTTATTATTATGTTAGGACCTTTTTGTATTGACAGTTGGATATGTTTACATTTTTACAAAACTAAGCGCCTCTGCCGTAATGGTTCATTTTGTAAGTATACTAAAACATTTTTTTCCAATTTCAAGCCTTAATATATTAATAGGCCTTAGGTATCACATAACTTTCTTTGCATTTTTAGACTCAATACCTTTGATAATTTCAAATCCTAAAAGAGTATATCTTAAAAACTCTTTAGACATAAAATTAATTTTTAACTTTTTTTTTTTAAAAAATATAAAAACTTTTTTTGCTACATTCTTGTGTACATGACTTATATAAAGATCGATGACAGAGTTTATCAAAACACAGACATATAAACATTATTTCCGTTTTTAAAAAGTAACTATTTGCAAAACTGTTTATTTGATTTTTTTACTCTTTAACATTGCTTTTTTGTTTTTGTATAAACAAATCAAAATATAAACGGAGTTTAAAAAAATCTAATTATTTTTATCTAAATCGAACACTACAAACTTTAAACGAATTTAAAAAAAAAACACGTGATGGTGCTCTTTTGTTATTGTATAAAAAAATCAAGTACAAACGGAGTAAAAGTAAAACGAACTTTTTTTATCCAAATCCAATACTACATAATACTGCAAAAGTATTTTATTAAAATCTAATAAAAACGCGATGGCAGGACGAAGCAATATGGTAAAATTAACACCCAATCCTAAATGGTATGTTTTTACGTTGCTTTTATGTATATCTTATGTTTTAAGTACTCTTGCTATAGTATAGTTTTATAATACGATTAATACGAAATCTATGATGTAATAGTTTAATGTTACACAATAAGATGTATGTGATATCGTCATTCAGTATTCTTAGTTTTAGTTTTGTAAAAAAAGCCAGAGACTTTGTTGTTTATTTTAAATTTTTTTATACTCATTAAATTATGATTTTTAGTTTTGCACAATAAATTCCTAAATATTGCTTGCAATAGTTTTATTGCTGACAATTTAAAAAAAAAAAAAAGAAAAACAACAAAAAAACAACTTATAATAGCCTATTTTAACTAAAAAAACCCTGTAAGGTACTTGCTCGCTCCCCTCTCTTTAGTGTATTTAGCCATTATTTTGCGTTTTGTAAGTTCTTAAAATATTTTGCGTAAATCGTGCCAAACTAAGAGATAAATCACGCATAACATTTATAATAAAGTGTTTTCTGACGTTTAACATTAAATTTCGTTTTATTTTTAATAAGGTTATATGTTTAATGATGCTTAACATACTCCTAAATAAACTTTAAATAAAAAAAAAATTAATGTAAAGTATATTAGGAGTTTATAAAACAATTTCAGTATTTATTAAGATTATACACAAGTTATTAAGATTATACACAACTTAATAAATATTAAAATATTTATAAAGTTAGGTGTAATAAACTAATTGCCCATGTACTCAAATAAAAAAACAACCTGAAAGTACGCCAAATGTGATGCCTTGGGGTAATTCATAATTACATGTAAAGCAAGATTTATATATTTTTATCATATTCAAAAATGAATTTGATCAATGTTTTTCAATAATGTTTTGAAAATTGAAACATTACCCTTTTTGATGGCATTGTAAAAAAGTATGAAATTTTTTTTAAAATACTTGATAGAGTTATTTAAGAAACAAATACACCAAATTTTGACCCATATGAAGTTAGGGGAACAAAAAATTTATTCTCTTTCTAAATTATACGAAAATATTATAAACTCAATAGAATTTTTTAAATACTGTAAGTTACTCGTTTGACGTCATATAAAAGATTCATAGAAAAAAAAAAAAGATTATTTAGTGACAAAAATATAAACATTGTACTTGGGTGCTTGTCGACCTTCGAGCGGTAAAATTGAATTGTTTGCAGAGTTAATAAAAATAACTCGTTAAAAAAAAAAAGAAAAAACAATGTTTGCATATTACTGATGACATAAGTTTGAAAGACCTGACACCCAAAATTACCCCTAAATCTTGAAAAAAAAACTATTGCTATGAACAAATTCAATATAAAAAAATCATGATCTGTAACTAACGATTAGAAAGAAAACATATTTGACTTTAGTAGTTAAAAAATAAATTTCATATTTATTGCCCTAATCAAATTTTAAAAAATTTATATGAATATTTTACAAATGTCAATTAAAACTTAGTTTAAAAAAAGTCATAACCACGCCAAGCTTATCTTAAATCTGTAACTCACGTTATACCGCATGATATGTTGTTAACTAACATCTCAGTCCAAATTTATGTTGTTAACTATCATCTTGATATGATGATGACATCAGATCAAAATGATAGTTAACAACATAAAATTGGACTGAGACGTGGACCTCCTGCAAGCAGGCATAAACAAAACAGTTGAATGGTCACATTGCTGGCTGATGAGTTTCAATATTGAGAAGTGCAAAGTTATGATTTCATACCACGGAAGAAAAAAAATCAAAGATCAAAATAAGATTACTTCATCCCAGGACCAGACGGCAACTCCTTCAGTTGAAGTTACTGATATAGAAAGAGATGTGAAGTTTTAAATTTCTATAGCCCTTAAACTTGCTCAAGTTATGTCAGCAACACGATCGCAAACTAGCACAGTAAAGAATACAGAATTGCTAACAGAGGGAGAAATTCTTTACAAACAGTATTGTGTCCTGTTGGAATACCCTTTGAAATTTTTTGAAAATACTTTTTGAAATTTTAAAACTAGTTATTAAATAGAATTTAATTTTTTAACGAGAGTTTTATGATTTACTTTATTAAGAGCTTTAACTATTTAAATAAAATACCCATTGTGAGTTGAGGACTTTAAATTGTTTTTTTTGACACCATAATATTATTATTGCATATTATATTGTTTGCGAAAAGGGGATGGCATATTGTAGTGCACAGAATAAATGGCATATTCTGTTGTACAGAATTCTTTCCTTTTAAAAGACGAGGAGGATGGAAATTGGGTGGCAGTTTTCTATATTATTGTCTTCACCTTTTTTAAATATTGGAACAACTTCTGCCATTTTTAGATTATCAAGAAATACTCTTTGCTGATGTTGATGAAATAAGATTAAATTCTAGAAAAGAATGTTTTTTAAAACATCAAAAGAACTTATAATAATATTCCCATTAATATCATCTGGACCTACTGTTTTTCCTAACTTCAACATTTTGAAAGCATTTTTAAACATGGTCTGTGCCAAACCATGACCCTTATTTCTGAAACATCAAACTAAATGAATCAACTGATTTTTATTTTCAACTGTTAAAGGTGTTGGCATTCCGCTTCAATGTTGACAGGATTTTTTTATTTTTATTTCTGCCAATTTTTTAACACTAAACTTAACTTACAATTTTTAACAACACTTCTTGCTTCTGACGATGTCTAAAAGCATTTTTGACATCATCTTTGCTATAGTTGTTGTTCAGCATTTTGTTAATAGTGATGATTTTTTTTTAATATCCATTTACAAAAGATTAATATCAGCATATTAACAAAATGGCTTTCATTTATAGAAATAGAAGGGATTTTAAAAAGGAAGTTTTATCGCAAATTATTAATTTATTAATTAGTGACAGAAAAAATTGAGAAAGTAAATTACTTTTGTTTACTTTTTATCACTTAATGCAATAAATAATTTTTACCGAAGTAAAAAGTACCGAAGCTAAATATTTGTCGAAGCCGAAACTTCGGCTGAAGTCATTTTACTGAAGGCGAAGCTTTTGTACTTACATTTGTAAAACTTGCTTTCTTGCAGATCTAGCTAATTAGGATAATACTAATTGTTGAAGAATACTTTTTAACATTTTACTGCAATTATAATATACTAGCTGAATTGACCCGTAAAAATACGGGTCTTTGTAAGTCTATTCTACACAAACTTTTTCCCTTATTTTCTTAATCTAGCTATCCGTATCGGTAAATACAGGTCTTTTCTTCTACTTCTATATTTATCTATTCCACGCTAATCATTTCTTTACTTGTTCCTTATTTACTTCAATATTTTTTAGTAAACGGTGGAAAAAAATTCATTAAAAAAATTTGCTTTGAGAGCAAAAAAAAACTTTAACATACGCACTTTTTCCGCATACGTATATAGCTTATTAAACCCCGTTTATTTATTTTTTTTTTAAAAATTCTGAACTAAACTACTTCCTACTTTTAGACCAGCCATGCAGTAGCGTAGCAAAGGGCCCGCAGGGCCCGCAGCCGCGGGGAGGCCCAGAGTTATTAGGGGCTCAAGGCAACAAAGAAAAAATTTAAAAAAAAGTGTCAGTACAATAAATAACATGCGTATATCATTAGTTTGTGTTTTAGATTACCGTTTTTTTATTTTCATGTATAACTTATTTGTCTAGAAGGAAGGTAAAGGCAAGGTGGTGGGGGGTGGGGGAAAGGAATAGAAAAGAAGTAATTTAGGGGCCCGGATTAAATTTTTGCGGGGGTGGGGGGCCAATTTTTTGTCGCTACACTACTGCAGCCATGGACCATGGTTTATGGTCGCGTCCTAGCCATTTTCAATAGTTACTATTTACTATATTTATTGTTATTATATGCTTAGTTTTGAATAATAACGGTCTTTTATAGTTACCTTTGTATTAGACGGAAACGGTAATGCAATTCTTTAAAACGTTAGTCACTTAAAGCGTCAAAAGTCATGCAAAAAAATAAATTATAAATTTTTTGGTTTAAAAGTTGAAAAACTAATAATAATATAATAAAAGGTTTGGTAATTTTTAAACGTTATTATTTAGCTCTTACTTATGGTATTTATTTTGTTTTCATTTTACATTTTTAAAAAAATGTTGAAGCACCTAACTACATGCATAACTTTGATAGCTCACAAGTTAAGTGCGCAGTCATCAGAGTCGCTGTGCAATGCTTCAAATCCGCGCCTAAAAAATCTCCATACATTTTTTTTAATTTTTTTAATCTGGCTATATTTATAGCAAAAAATTAAATATAGCGAAAAACCTTTTAATTGCTTTTTTTCCTCTGCCTCCACTGCAATACCATGTGGAGTAGCGGGACGGTTTTATCAAATTTTTTTCCTTATTAGGTTTTAGGACTTTTTTTTTAAGACTATCCGTAGCTTATTAGGACCAATTATGTGAGAACAGTATCAAAATCATGACACGCACGCAACAAATTTTCGCCCCGTTTATTGGTGTTTTTAGAAATCCAAAAAATTTATAAAATTTAAAAAGAAAAAACGGTTTAAGTGTATAACATTTAATTTGTTTAACTTTACAAATATTTTGTAATTTAAAGATTCTAAGAAAAAAATCGCTGGTGGTAAATTTGAACCACGACTATTACGTTCAGAAGCTTAGCTCGCTAACCATTCGGCCATGCTGACACATCAAATATCGAAATTTTAAAAATATATAAAAATTGTTTTAAACGGAATTGCTGTAGATCAAAAATTAAGAAGAGGTTGACGCAATGCAATTTTTAAGTCAAAGTCAAACTATAAAACTTGAAAAATGTTTCAGTATGTTTCATCATTACTTAATTACGTACGTTAGATATTTGTATACACGTTTTCTTATAAAAAAAGTGTTGCGACTCTTTCTACTAACACTTTTAAGTTCGGCATTATTATATAGAAGATAGATAGATTATAAAATAGTTTTTCACCTAAAAGGACAAACTCTATTCCACATTAACCTTATCTCTATTTCTCCCTCTAATATTTTTT